GGGGGTGGGGGGGGGGAGGCGTGCTCTTAAAGTTTTACAAACCTGTTCGTGGAAGCCTATTATTAACCATACCAATAAATATCTTGTGTTGGAATCTCCCAACAGGTTTTTCAAGAAGAATTTGGAATAATTAAATCCTACAATTTAAAGCCAGGTGGTGATAAAATTCCAGTTACCAATCAAAATAGGAAAGGTAAGTAGACACCATTTCTTAATTGAAATGCATGAATATTTACCATTTACTTTTACTGTTTAACGGATGTAAAATTGCTTTCCAGAATATGTGCAGCTTTATATTGACTTTCTTCTCAACAAATCCATCTATAAGCAATTTGCTGCATTTTATTATGGATTTCATAGTGTGTGTGCTTCAAATGCCCTGATGGTGAGTTTAAAACTAAATTATGCTTTCAATTAGATCTTGTAATACTATAATATTGACAGATAAGTCCTTGAATAGATAAGCTTCTAAAATAGAAAATATTTTTTACTTTTTAAAGGTAGAGCTAGAAGTAAAAATAGCTTTCTCATCTCAGCCTTAATTCTGTAATGGGAGAAAAGACCAGCCAACTCCCTTTTTCTTTCCTTGGGCTCTGTCTTATACTATGTCTTTTGGGGCTTTAAGAAATTTCCTTAAGAGTAGATGAAGAGATCCCATAGGCTCAAGGTCTTAATACTGAGGGACTAATCACAGAAAACAGAGTTAACAGGTAAGCTCCAGGGCCGAAGCCACAACTTCTGATTAAGGAACATATTTCTAACTTCTTCCTGCTGCAACTCTGAGTTACCTTTTACCCATAGGAAGTAGTTTGTCCTCAGAGTCATGATGAACTCTGGTTGGTTTGACATGTCTTAGCCAGGTGAAGGTGGGTCAGTGCCATTTAGAACACCATGTCTGAGAAAAGTCAGTCTTCTCAAGAAGCCCTGCTCTCCCCCAGCTACGCAGGGGGCGCTAGTCATGCCACGTGTATCTCCCCTCAGTTTTAGTATGTGCGTTTGGAGTAAGGTCTTCCATTTGAGTTATTGTTATAGGAGAGAACTGGTTTTAAGGTAACCTCTGTCACGTATTTGTTGTTAAAAGCACCTCTGAAAAAGGAGCACTTATATTGAGCTCTAACTGGGTTTTGTCTGTGATGACACACTGCTCCTTGTGGGGGTGGAGGGAGGGAAAATAAGAATTAAATGGCACAGCATGGTCTCTATTCTTAAGTTTTAATCTCTTTAGGTGAGGGACAACTTATGTAGGTGAAAAAACCAGTGAACTACACGAGGCAGATATAATCAAGTACCCAAACTCTACAGTGCCCCTGGGAGGTGTGTGGTCTATTGGAAGGAGGCTGGAATAAGCTAAGAGAGTTTCAAGCAGGCCTGAGGGGGCGGGGAAGAGTTGTCATTTGAATTCATGCTTAGTCATCTGCTTGTTTTTCTGGCAAACTGCTAATTACTATTTGCAAAGGGGAGAGCCTAATAGTTTGACAAGATTTATAAATTTTCAGGAGCAAAAATATCTTAACCTCAGTAGAAAACTAAAAATGGAGATTTTTCCTTAATAAAAATGGCTTGGTTTACTATAAAGAAGTCATATGTTTTGTAATTTGATTCAGTGAAGATAGTTCCAATTTCATTTTTTTATTCATCACTTTTTATTATCATTTTTGGAAAATAACTATTGGCAGCTGCTTCGTCCAGAAGAGGTTGAAATTCTGGTCTGTGGAAGTCCCGAACTGGACATGCATGCTCTGCAGAGAAGTACTCAGTATGAGGGCTACGCAAAAACAGACTTAACTATAAGGTTAGCGCATTCTACTTCTGAGCGTCAGCTTGCCGGAGAGGGGATGAAAGAGAGTGTAACTTATTTGTATCATTTACAATCTTTGAATCAAGTAAGTTAGCTGAAATATTGTAGAGTTCCACACTGCCTTATTTTATCTTTAGAAAGTAATGTGAGAATATTAAATATGAAATCACTTAGCAGTTCCCTTGGGAGAAAGTGATATAAATAAGGTTCTACAAAAGTATAGAGATTTGTTTTTAAATCTTTTTTTAGAGAGAGAGCATGTGAGCTGGCGGGGGGTGGGGCAGTGGTAGAAGAGAGAACCTTAAGCAAGCTCCCCACCCAGTGTAGAGCCCAACACGGGGCTCGATCTCATGACCCTGAGATCATGACCTGAGCCAAAATCAAGAGTCAGATACTTACCCTACTGAGCCATCCAGGTGCCCCAAGATTTTACTTTTTTAAAAAATGACTTGGGGGGCGCCTGGGTGGCTCAGTCATTAAGGGTCAGCCTTCAGCTCAGGTCATGATCCCAGGGTCCTGGAATCAAGCCCCACATCGGGCTCCCTGCTCAGCGGGAAGCCTGCTTCTCCCTCTCCCACTCCCCCTGCTTGTGTTCCCTCTCTCGCTGTATCTCTCTCTGTCAAATAAATAAAATAAAATCTTAAAAAAAAATGACTTGGGTTCTAGAATTTCGGGGATGCTATACTTATAAATAGCATTTTACTAGCACTGTGCTGAAAAAAAATAAGGCTTGTAAATTATAGAGGAGAAAAATGGCTTTTGTACTATCTACTGTTGGACTACTTTTATAATTCTATAAAGATGTTACTTTTGGGGTGCCTGGGTGGCTCAGTTGGTTAAGCGTCTGACTCTTGATTTCAGCTCAGGTCTTAATCTCAGGGTCTTGAGCTCAAGCCCCGCATTGGGTTCCATGCTGGGCATGGAGCCTACTTAAAAAAAAAAAAGTTACTTTCATAATAATGTTAGTCAAAAATCTAACTCGTATATAGAAGCTTGTCGTTCCTTAACTTCACATTAAGGGCTATTATGTATGTTTAAGGGAAGTTTTTTCCTTAGAGCTTACTTTATGTTACTTTATTCTGATCTGCAGGATTTTTGACAAGACATTTTATATAAATTTCCTTTGGTGTTCTTTAGATATTTTTGGGATGTTGTGCTTGGATTTCCTCTTGATCTTCAAAAGAAGTTGCTACATTTTACTACAGGAAGTGACAGAGTACCTGTAGGAGGAATGGCTGACTTGAACTTTAAAATCTCAAAGAATGAAACTTCTACTAACTGGTAAATTTCCAGATTGTAATTTTATTTTTAATCTGTAGGTTTTGCTAATAATAATATGTTTGGAGTTAAAGGATTCTTTCAATCAGAAGTCATTTTTGTAGAAAAAAAATTTTGGGAGTAAATATAACCTTGAAATGAGAGAGAGTATGCATTAAAGTTCTCTCTTCATTTTTGAGACTTACCAATACCAATAATTCCTTTCTATCAACTTTTTACTTTGCTAAGTCAACTGCTTTGTAGTCTCTTTTAGAATCTAGCTGGCTTTTAGTTGTACATTGTATAATGTTCATTTTTATTTAAAGGTGTTTTTTATTAAAAATATTAAGGTGAGTTTTTTGGCTTGTATTATAGTTAGTACAAGAAATCCTGTAGTAGTAGTCCTCTTTTTTTTTTAATCTAGTGCGCTTTGCATACGAAAGTAATAATGATGGCTTTGAATGATGGCTTTGTTTTCTAATATTATTGATGGGTTGATGCTGATCTACTTGTTTTCCCAAACACCTTATAATATCTAGAGCTGATTTGAGTAGATGCTGCTTTTATTAGAATCATTTTTTTCTCCCACCCAATATATTCCCTGAGCTTTGTCAGCTCTTCCTTTCATTTTAGACCTGGACTCTGTCCTTTCCTTTCCCACGGCCACCACCCTGATGTAGTTGTTTTTAGCTTCATTCCTAGCTTATTGAAATAGCCTTCTTCCTGGTCTACTTGCTCACATTCTTCCCTTTTTAATTATTTTATCTTATTAAATTCATTTTCCTTAACACTGCTTTGCTTATGGTATTTCCTTGGGCCATAATAGCTTTACTGCTGCTCTCCTTCAGTTTAAGTTCTAGACTCTAGAGCCTGTCCAATAAAGCTCTACAGTCCTCTCCCCAAGATTACATAGCAGGGCGCCTGAGTGGCTCAGTTGGTTAAACGACTGCCTCCGGCTCAGGTTATGATCCCGGAGTCCTGGGATCGAGTCCCACATCGGGCTCCCCCTTCTCTGTGGGGAGCCTGCTTCTCCCTCTGCCTCTGCCTGCCACTCCCCCCTGCTTTGTGCTCACTCTTTTTCTCTCTCTCTGTGTCAAATAAATAAAATCTTAAAAAAAAAAAGATTACATAGCAGTTTTCCTTTCTTGTCATGCTTTAGTCAACAGGCTATTTTGCTGTTCCTTAGACACATTTTGTCCTTTCCTTTTTCATACTTTTAAGTGGTTCTCCCAACACATGACATTCACTTGCTGTCTCTCTACTCAAGAAAGTTCTACCCCTCCTCAAAGACCCAGTTTCACATCAACTTCTTCTGTAAAGCCAAAAATCATCATTCCTTTGATTCACTCCTCAAATATTTTATAGAAATCCTATGTCACTTAGCATCTTGCACCTTTATCTTAGTCATTTTGCCCCTCAGGGCAGAGGCCATGCCTTATACATCTTTGTATTCTTCAAATAGCCACACACATATTAGGTGCTCAGCAAATGTTTCTTGAATGAATATTTCAGTCAACATCAACATTATATTAAAATACAGAACAAATATTTATATACATATATATATAATTAAGAAATGTCTAAATAAGATTTACATTGAAAGACCTAAAATGAAAAAAAATTCAAAAGAAGCTTTTTTTTAAGGTTATAGTCTTATTTACTTAACAGAAATTAGTTTTTCAAAATATTGATTAACAAAAATACTGTCAACTTAAAAAGAGTAACCTGAGGGGTGCCTGAGTGGCTCAGTTGGTTAAACGCCCAGCTCTTGATTTTGGCTCAGGTCTTGATCTCAGTGTCATGAGTTCAAGCCCCACATTGGGCTCCACACCCAGTGTGGAGCCTACCTTAAGAATAAGTAAGTAAGTAAATAAATAAATAAATAAAAAGGATAATGTGAGTAATTTAATTTAATACAAAAGTGATATTACACCTAAACTTTTCCTATTGTTATTTCAGGGATTATTTTGTAAGCACATGTGGTTTAGGCATGAATCTTCCACAACTCTAGGATTTGCAGTAGGACATTCACGTAGATTAAATATAGTTGTCCATCAAAGATGTGTACATCACCATTGTAGATCCACTAGATTTTTGTTAAATAAGAATGTTAAATTTTTACATGGTAACAGTATTGGTGTGAGGTAAGGCTGATGTGGGTTTGAGTAATGGGTCTACAACTTTACCAGCTCTGTGGCGTCGAACAGATTACTTAACCTGTATGTTCCCATGCTTAGTTTCCCTCATCAGTAAAATGAGGATAACAAAAACCACTCTTTAAGTTGCTTTGAGGCTTAAATTAAACACTGCATATAAAAACACTTAGCACAGTGCTTATCATAGACCAAGCACTCAGTAAATGCAAACTGATTGTAATGATTTTAAATCTTTTAAAACAGAGGGCTGTCAAAGTTTAGTTTCTGATCCTACAAACTTGTTTGAAAATGTTCTTTTCTCTGGCACATTCCCCATTTTTATTCACTGACTTCTCCGATGGCTGTTTTGATGCTGCAGAGGTCCTCAAGTCTGCAGGATGAAGGAAGGACCTAGGAAAAGGGCAGCAATCTAGAGTGCAGATAGACAGTGTCATCAGGGAGAGGCTCGGGCTGGTCCAAAAGGTGCAGAGGATGGATGCCGCGTGTGCCTGAGGGCAGCGGCACTGAGAGCACGGGCGTCAAATATCCAGGAATGTTCTTTTTATTATTTTTGGACAGTCAAGACTGAAATAATAATAACAGTTGTATTATCCACTATTCTGCCGGATGTTTTATGCGCATAGCTCTTTAAATCTTTTAAACAACCCACTTGGATAGTTCACCCTGCTGTGGTGACAAGGACACTGAGACGTGGAGACATGAAGCCAGTCGAACAAGATCCCACGGCCAGTAAGTTGGGGAGCCAGCATTCAAATTCAGATCTGCCTCCAACAGTGATGCCTCTAGGATGCAGGTTTCACAAGAGCACAGGGACATTGACCGGCTGGTCTGTAAACCCAGCCCGGGTGTCTAGAACAACGGTGCCGATACATAGTAGTAGGTGCTCTGTAAGTATCTGTTCAGTGAAGGAATTAAGGAGTCGCCTCTTGGCATAGCGATGTTTGATAGTAGCTTTGCACTGATCCAGTATGTATTTTGAGACTTAGTATCTCTAAAAAGAAATTTTTTCCCCTAGGTTGCCTGTGGCCCACACCTGCTTCAATCAACTTTGCCTTCCCCCCTACAAGAGCAAAAAGGACCTAAAACAGAAATTGATCATTGGAATTTCAAATTCAGAAGGTTTTGGACTTGAGTAACCTAGAAGACTTGAAATATATTTTATATGTAGCATTTACTTCCCTCTTATTGTGCCTTTAACCTTTTCATGTCTCTGTCTCACAGCACCTTGACAAAGCTCACTAACTTTAAAATACTGATTTTTTTTAAATCAAATATGAAATATGTTCAGTGGGGGAGGCATGATTTTCTAAAAACACAGAAATTGCTTGAGGAAAAGACCAGATGGCAGAGACAGATGTGGGTCCAGCCATTCCTTTTTATAGCACTTTATGATTCTCCATAGGTCCTTTCTCACCAGTGCTCCACTGGGAAAGCAAAGCACAGTGAAGAAAGCGCCGACCGCGTAGTGGCGCCCGGTGGGGCCCGGTGGGGCCCGGTGGGGCCCGATTGGGCCCCGGGGGCAGACACATGCACAGCTCCATTCTCGTTCGTGTAAGGCATGTAGCCATATTTTCATATAGAGGTAAACAACAACAGTATAAATGCTGTTTACAGGGTTTGTTTGTTTGTTTGTTTTTTTGATATACTGGCTTTGGTCCTCTAAGATTCTTTTCAACTGTTGCTGAAAAGCATGTAAATAACTACATAATAGCCTGAGAATAATGGGATTTTGATAGTGCCATTTATTGCTAAAAGATTTATTTTTACAAAGTAAATTCAGGGTTTTAGATGTGTATACAGCTTTTACAAATCAATAAAGATGATTGTACAAGAGTGTTAACTATTTTCAGACTAATTGGATTTGAGGTTCTGTTCTTTTAAGTAATGTTAGTCTGCATGCACATTGGCAGTAAACTAATTACTTTGAGTATTCTGTAATATTTGTATAATGATCATTTCTTCTTAAGGGTCAGGACATTAGAGGGGAAATCAGATCTAACTAATTGTTAATAAATTAAGTCAATTACAAGCACAAAAGAACTGTTTTTATATATAATTTGATTGATGTACAAGGCTTATTTCTAATATTTTTTGATTACCAGTTGTACTGACACACTAATTTTGGGGAAAGGCTAGGATAAGATATTTGACAAAAGTGAATACAATAATAACATCTGTGTCAAAATGATGTAGCTTGGTGTAAAAATAAAGTTCAACATTTTGGCCAAAATGTTTGTATTTCACTGGATTCTGAATGTAGTAAATTCAAAAGTACCCTTTTTGGAGTTTCTCAACAAGTAGCATGTAAAAAGAAACTACATTTTAAGTCAGACTGTAAATGGTTTTCTTTTTATTTACAGCAAATGAAGCAGTTTTATTGGCATGTTACAAATATTTCCAAATCAAGACTTCTCTATTATACTTTGATAGCTTTCCTTCAGGAAACTCTGAAGATACATTTGCAATAATAATGAAGCCAGCATTTAGTACCAGCATATGGTTCACAGGCAAATAATACTGTCCCCCAGTTTTTTCTTAGTTACACTGTTTTCTTACTGCTATGCTTCCTACACCCAACCAGCAGAATTCTTTTCGGGTGGAGGAACGAATCAACTCGTTCTCCTGTAGGGCTGGGGCCAATTTGCGAATCTCCTTCGTTTACTGTTCCTCTTGCGAAGGAAGTGACTCTGCTTTTCCACTGGGTGTACTATGTAAAGGATTTTTCTTCTTAAGAATCTTGGAAAAGCCTAAGAGAGTTAAAGGCATGTTGGTTTTGTTTGGTTTGCTCTGTTTCTTATCCATCTGCAAATAAAACTGCTTCTCTGTTAGACTGCTTGGACTAGAACGTAGGTTTTTACTTACTAATAAGCACAAAAGAATCACGTATAAGAAATCAGATTTAAGTGTTTTAAATAAAACAGAGTTTTATTTGGTAGAGATGGAAAAATTGTGTTGGCTTGGTCTGCATGTTTAATGATGTGCTTGTTTATCGATAGCTCTGTCACTTTTAAATAAGTACACAAGCAAGCCAAATTTTTAAATGACAAAGTCCATAAGGAACTAGAAAATTATTGTTGTCTGTTGTTATTAAGTTGAAATTTATAACCATTTATCACTTAATTACACATTGCCTTTATTTATTTATGTTGGTTTTGGTTTACAGTGTAATAATACCTCATTTTCTAAAAAAAAAACAAAACCACTATTGTCCTATTTCTTAATTTAAATAGCTAGAAAATTCATGTAGTTGCTTTTTTAAATATAATCTGTTAAGGAAGTCTTGATTTTTATATCTGCCACAGTAAATTAAAGCATTGTGCAGTATTTATCAGTATTTACAAAATGTCCTGTCCTTTTTAAATCTTTGCTTAATCATATTTTTGTCTGTATGATCAAAAGTTTTTAACAGTCTGTCTTTTTTGTACAAATCTGTATTGTATTAAGTTCATTTCTGGATAAAATTTTTCAAATATTAAAGTTATACAATCAGTCAGGCTTCAGCTCAATTTTTTAACATTAGGCAATTCATTAAAACCGTAAGTTTAAAATATCTTATGAAAGCAAACTGTTCTCTTCTTTACACTGTCTCTTAAACTAGTGCTTAGGAAAAAATACATAGAGCTTCAAAAGATATGTGTTGATGTTGACACCAAATAAAATCAACTTCTTTCACATTCTTTTCTGTATGAAATAATGTCTATCCAGTGTCTGGATGGTCACAAACCATTCTGTCAGATGAACGTTAGCACGTCATGGAAGCCACCCAGAAAGGAACCAAGTATGACATTTCATTGGCCAACTTCAGATCTTAAGTATTCCTCCCCAAAACCATTAGTTTGGCCTTCCTCCCCTTGCCCACATCTCCTATGCTTAAGGAAAAGAAAGAGGAGATTATGAGAATGTAGGGGAGAATGTCATGAGTGATTCATGGAAGAAGAGAGCTGACTGATTTCATGGAAGATAGGCAGCTAGGAGGGAGGGAAGAAGACCAGGGTGGGTTTTCCCAGTGGCAAATACACGATCAGATGGCAAATTCACCCAGATGGCCACACAGCCTTTGGTCCGGTGTGGTGGTTACGAACAGCGCTTTGGAGCCAGACTGCCTGGGTTTGGGTCCGCTCTTCACTAGTTGTGTTTGGCCAGTTACTTATTCTCCCCCGGCCTCAATTACCACGTGAAAATAATTTGTAAATGGCAATAACAAAGCTCCCTATCTTGTAGGTGGGCTTGTAGGAGAATTAAATGAGTCGATGTATGTAAAGCACTCACTCACGTGGCATATGGCAAACAATATGATGGGTGCAAGAGGCAGCATGTGCTATTGTGATGACGTCTTAAAACCACGGCTTCTGCAGCCTTCTGGAGGTTTTTGACTATCAGACACTGGGGACAACCACAGGTAAAGAACTCAAAGTGTTTCTGAGGCATTAAAAATGTGTTAGGAGAATATTTCTTCTTCTAGAAACAGTGCTTTAGAATTTATCCTTGTAGATGTCTCACTAGGCAAGGGGTATTTTTTTTTTTGCATCAGTTTCTCTGTATTCTATTTTTTCATTTAAATTCAATTAACATATAGTGTATTATTGGTTTCAGAGGTAGAGGTCAGTGATTCATCAGTCTTCTGTAATGCCCAGTGCTCACGACCTTACGTGTCCTCTTTAATGCCCACCTCCCCCCCTCCAGCAACCCCCAGTTGATTAAATCTCTTACAGTTTTTCTCCCTCTCTGATTTCGTCTTGTTTTATTTTTCCCTCCCATCTCCTATGACCTTGTGCCTTGTTTCTTAAATTCCACATGAGTGAGATCATATGATAATTGTCTTTCTGTGATTGAGTTATTTCGCTTAGCATAATACTCTCTAGTTCCATCCACGTCATTGCAAATGGCAAGATTTCATTTTTGATGGCTGAGTAATACTCCATTGTATGTATACCACCACATCTTCCTTATCCATTCATCTGTCGTTGGACATCTCGGCTCTTGCCACAGTTTGGCTATTGTGGACCTTGCTGCTGTAAACATCGGAGTGCAGGTTCCCCTTTGGATCCCTACATTTATATCTTTGGGGTAAATAGTAGTGCAATTGCTGGATCGTATGGTAACTCTATCTTCAACTTTTCGAGGAACCTCCATACTGTTTTCCAGAGTGGCCGCACCAGCTTGCATTCCCACCAACAGTGTAAGAAGGTCCCCTCTTTGATACTCTCTTTTAGATGGTTCTAGTCTTCAGTTCTTGAAGTACTAATTCTTGTATTTCTCTCTTTTTTTTATAAAGATTTAAATTTTTTTAAGATTTTATTTATCCATGAGAGACAGAGAGAGAGAGGCAGAGGCAGTGGGAGAAGCAGGCTCCCTGAGGAGCAGGGACCCCAATGCAGGACTCGATCCCAGGACCCTGGGATTATGACCTGAGCCGAAGGCAGACGCTTAACCAACTGAGCCACTCGGGTGCCCCTAATGCTTGTATTTCTTCATCTGCTGGATCTCATAGTGATTTGTTTCCTTGTGTGATTTGTGATTTTGTATTTTTGTATGTTCTGTTTACTTTCAGGTTCTGAATCGTGCAAGTGCCCTAGCAGAGTAGTTCCATGTTGTTCTCAGCCAAGGCCCTCCAGCTTTCCCACACCAATTTTTATATTAACTTCTTGGACTTCTTTTCCACTTGTGTAAATGTGGACCCCCTCACCTGTAGTGGGTTTATGAGTAGAATTTTTCTATCCCCTTTTCATAGACATAGCAACCCTTTTATTTTTATTTTTTTAAAGATTTTATTTCTATTTGTCAGAGAGAGAGCGCACAGGCAGGGGGAGTAGCAGGCTGAGGGAGAAGCAGACTCCCCGCCAAGCAGGAAACCTGATGTGTGACTCAATCCCAGGACCCTGGGATCACGACCTGAGCCGAAGGCAGATGCTTAACTGACTGAGCTACTCAGGCATTCCCATAGCAACCCTTTTAAACTCTAGGCTTTATGAAGTGGCCTGAGCCATGTCTGCTGAACTCATGTTCACTGAAATCCCTTACAGGTCTCATCACCCCCATGAGTCACCTAATCCTGCTTACTACTTTCAGCTTTTCATTTCTTCCTCGTTTCCTATAATTTCCCTTGCTTTCAATCTTTGACATTTATATTTTAAGATTTCTGTAGATATGTTCCAAAATTTATAAAATTCTAGTGTAGTCAATGGCTTCTTCCATTTCAGCTCGGCCTGTACAAGCATGGCCCTTGGTTCTTTTTACCCCATCCAATTTGTGAAACTTCGAAATATATTGCTTCCTGTAGATTATTTGCACCGAGGCTTATTAATTTATTAACTTAATACTTTTTTTTTTAAGTAGGCTCCATGCCCAGCGTGGAGCGCAACACAGGGCTTGAACTCAGGACCCCAACATAAAGACCTCAGCTGAGATGAAGAGTCAGATGCTTAACCGACTGAGCCACTCAGGTGCCCCGATAATTTAACACTTTTTTAGTAATTGACTATTGTATCAGCTAGAGGCTGATGTTTAGCTCCATACACCACTTGTTTATTCTTTACAAACATAAGAAGCAGATCTGATTCTGACTACTTTTGAAGCATTAAAATGTGTATGTGTATTATAACAAGGAAACACATCCAGGGTTTTCACAGCAATTATACAACTCAATGTTTTCATGCCATTTAGATATTCTAACTGAACCCATGGGTAGACAGACAATAGGAGCATTAATCCCCATTGAGTTTAGCTGCTGGGTTTTCCCAGTGCAATTTCCCCAGCAAGTGCAATTGCTGGATCGTATGGTAGCTCTATCTTCAACTTTTCGAGGAACACAACTTGGTTTTTTCCATGTGCACACATACCCACACATACCCCCACACACACACACGTGCAAATCACAATAGAAAAAATCTAGAATTATTTCAGAATTTCTCAAGGAGCGCCGTCTTGTGCTGTGTTTCCACTCATATATAGGCCACCTCTCAATAGGCCTTCCTTGCTTGTCTCTGTCACTGGCAATCTTACTCTCCTGATTGACTTGGCTTGTAAATGGTGGTCTCATTTCAAATTTTCCTTCTCTTCAACCTCCTATCAGCAAGCTTCATCTTTATGATGTTTGTCCGATCTGACCCTTCTTTCTACTCCATTCCTGCAGCCTCCTCCTTGGTTTAGTCCCTCAACCCTTAATAACTAACTGGCCTCCCTGACTGTAGACTCACTCTTCCCCCCTTTACCTGAAGGCTCCTCAGTTAATCTTTATAAAATTCTGTTCTTTTCATGTGCCTCACTATCAAGTGTCTAAGGTATATCTGGTGCTGACCTGACCGCCTTCCAACTGCAGAGCCTAACATGGGTTCCGCTTCTATTTTGCATTTTCCCCAACACCAACTTCCAAGAGGATAGCTCCTTTACTGAATGCCCCTCCTCAGTCCCATCCCTGCTCGGCCTAGTGCTTCTGAGGTCCTCTTCAGCGGCCCCTCTCCCACCAACCAACTCCTCCCTCGGCTCCACCCCAAATCAGCTCCCATCTCCTGCCGTCCAGAGCATCCCAGACTAGAACTTTCTCTCTCCTGCCAAACTTTGCCCTGAACCATTACTAGCCCCCAAACAAAAAAGCTAGCTGGAAGGCAAACCGTACTCTTCTTCACACCATCCTAGGTGGCGCTTAGTGTTTTCAAACTGGTGTATGATTCGATATATGGGTATCAGCAGCTTGAGAACAGAAGTTATTTCCTGCGTCCCCACCTACACCTAGCACAGTGCTGGGTCAGTAAACTCAGATAAAATCCTACCTGACTTGACTTGACTGGGCAGGTGGAAGAGTCATCCAATCAGTGGAGTGAACCAGAGAACTACTTACCCAAACAGGGGTAAGTAGTTCATCGTTAATCATAGCCTATTGTCCTGACTTACACAAACCATTTCGCACCCTGGCTGTCAAGACTCCAGTGTGTCAGCCTTGGGGAAACACCTTCCGAACCCCCACCTACCACCATGCTCCCATCAGCCTGAGCCTACCTTTCCACTCCAAACTACATGGAGCCTGAGCTTGCCTGCCTCCAATTACCAAGTGGCTCATTCACCAAACGAAACAAAATCGATGAGCAGTGGCGGTCAACGTACATTAACTGTGAAAGGGAAACAAAATGCTCGCAAAATAGTTCTGTGGTATAATCCAAATTTTGGTTATG